CCATAGTTTCCAGTACCATCAGTCATTTTCTCATAGTATTGCATTGGATGTTCAAGGTCTTAGGTGATCCTTCTACCTCAGTCTTCCAAGTAGCCAGAACTACAGATGAGCGCTACCACACCCAACTAATTTTTTTTTTTTTTTGTAGAGACAAGGTCTCACCTCACCAAGTTGCCCGGGCTGGTCTCGAACCCATGGGCTTAGGCAATTCTCTTGCCTTGGCCTCTCAAAGTGCTGGAATTATAGGCTTGAGCCACTGCGCCCAGCTTATATGTATTTTTTAATTAAGTGTAGAGATGGGGTTTGCTACATTGCCCAGGTTGGTCTCAAACCCCTGGGCTCAGGCAATCCTCTTGCCTCTGCCTCCCAAAGTGCTGGGTCTACAGGCATGAGCCACTGCACCCAGCTAGATGGCACATTTAAGTTAAAAACATACAATCCCCCAAATTCCAGAATGAACTAACACTTAAATAACTTCATTTTCCTCATCCTTCATTCCCCAAATATCACCAGCACAAAACTGGAACCAACACAATTTCAATGCTTTCTTCACTGGATCAACATGTCTTAAATGTGACCATTTAGCTTAGGATTCTGGAGATCCTTTCAACATCCACTCACCATTCGCTTACTTGTTTCTCCCACTCCCTCACCTGCATTATACCTTTTAGAGTGAAAAATATTCATTATTTTTGAGTGGGAGAGAAAAAAAATTTTAAATGGCATCTTCAGGGAAAACAAAATGAATTATGTTGAAAATCATTCAGATTATACAAGACTCTGTAAACATATACACTCATACTCATAGGCCATACTCATAACTTTCTATATATCTTTATAATTCAGAAAATTTTACTATCCAGACTATACAACCTTTAAAATTTTAGTTTCATTCTTGCTTGCAGAAAGCACCTAGAATGTTCCACTGAAAGTTACATATGTTATTTAGAGCAGAGGTCTCCAATCCCCAGTACTGGTCCATGGCCTGTTAGGAACCAGGTCGCACAGCAGGTGAGCAGGGGGCAAGTCAGCAAAACTTCATCTGTATTCACAGCCACTCCCTGTGGCTCACATTATTGTTTGAGCTCTGCCTCCTGTCAGATCAGCAGCAGCACTGGATTCTCATAAAAGCACAAACCCTATTGTGAACTTGTATGCGAGGGATCTAGGTTGTATGCTCCTGATGAAAATCTAACGCCTGATGATCTGAGGTGGAGCTGAGGCAGTGATGCTAGTGCTGGGAGTGTCACAAACACAGATTAACATTAGCAGTGAGGTTTGACTACACAGAGGCCATAATAAATCAATTGCTTAGAGACTCATTTCAAAACCCTTCAGTGAATGGCAAGGAAGCTGATGTACTTCAAATGTACAGTTGCATCAGCTGGCAGGCTTTACGTCAGAATCTGACACTAATTTTAGTTGGCATGTGGCCCACCCATTATTTTACTAACCACTCTGTCCGCACTTCTTTTTTTTAAATAGTGAGTTGTATACTTATTTTATTATATATCACAATGTAATAATAATAGAAATGAAGTGTACAATAAATGCTATGCACTTGAATCATCCCGAAACCATTCCCCCACCTTGGTCCATGGAAAAACTGTCTTCCATAAAACCGGTCCCTGATGCCAAAATGATTGGGGACCACTGATTTAGAGGCATTTAGCAACCTGGTTGACTTTTTAAACCAAGTAGCCACAGTTGGTATCTATCACATCTTATATTCAGTAAAGCTTAGGGTCCAAGACAGAGTATAATAAGTTTAAAACCTTATATTTAATGCTTCTTTGGTAATGCTTATATAACATTCAGAGTAAGCTATAACAAGCATTTAAAATACTAATTGAGCACAGCATAACTATTTTCAATTTCAATAACTTAAAAAATCTAAGTATTAAAGTTTACTCTAATTTAAACTTTAGACCATTCTGGGCGCTGTGGCTCACGTCTGTAATCCCAGCACTGAGCTCAAGGGTTTGGGACCAGCCTGGGCAACTTTGCAAGACCTCATGTCTACAATAAATAAATAAATAAAATCGACCAGGCATGGTGGCATGCACCTGTAGTTCCAGCTACCTGGAAGGCTGAGGTGGAAGGATCACCTGAGCCCAGCAGGTCAAGGCTATAATGGCCATGAGCATACCACTGCTTTCCAGTCTGGGCAACAGAGTATGATTCCAACTCAAATAAATAAATAAATAAATAAACTTTAGACCAAAGCCGAATTAGATCAAAATGTATCTCCGGGATTTTTCAAAGACACTCCTTCGAGAAAACATGAAAACACTAAATGCACAACAAATTAGCAAAGAAGCTATTGAATCATTAAACCTCATTGCAAGTTGAAAGCTATTAAACTCACCAATAATAATAATAATTTACAATTACCATTTTTTTTTTTTGAGTTGGAGTCTCACTCTGTTGCCCAGACTGGACTGCAGTGGCCGCTCCCAGCCACCGCAGCCTCGACCTGCTGGGGCTCCGGCGACCCTTCCTCCTCAGTCATCCAAGTAGCTGGAATTACAGGTGAGCGCTATCATGCCCGGCTAATTTTTTTATTTATTGTAGAGATGAGGGCTCACCAAGTTGCCCAGGCGGGTCTCGAACCCACGGGCTCAGGCAATCCACTCACCTCAGCCTCCCAAGGCGCAGGATTATAGGCTGAGCCACTGAGCTCAGCTTACAATTACTATTTTAAAATAATTTAATAATGGTCTGGTTTCTGCAATGTCTGTAAAATCCCTATACATTTTATGAACTCGTGGGGGAGGGTAATACTTATCACCAGGCACTGTGCTTTATTTATTCATTCAACAACTATATATCATTCTCAGGATGAAAAAATATGCCCAGGCACTGTGAAAGTAGACACAGGGAAGTAAAAGCTAATCAGACAGATACAAATCACATTGACTCAAAAAACTTACATAACACTAATGTATACTTTACCTTTATTATCTCACTTTATCTTCCTGAAAACCCAGCAATAATTAATATTATCTACAGATGAGAAGGCTGTCACTTAGAAATAACTTGCCCACATTGGTACTGCTAGTAAAAAACCTGACTGAAATATAGATGCAAATCTACTTGAAAGTCATAGATTATTATGTCAACCCTACCAAGTCATTTTCTCTTTATTAATAATCAAAATAATGATGAGAATAGCTAATTTTACTGAGTCCTAAGTGCCAGGTACATGTCTAAACTGTCTATACATTTTTTTGGGTGTGTGTGTGTGTGTGGTTTTTTTTTTGAGTTGGAGTCTCACTCTGTTGCCCAGGCTGGAGTGCAGTGGCCGCTCCCGGCCACCGCAGCCTCGACCTGCTAGGCTCCGGCGATCCTTCCGCCTCAGCCTTCCGAGTATCTGGAACTACAGGCGCGCGCTACCACGCCCGGCTAATTTTTGATTTATTGTAGAGATGAGGTCTCGCCAAGTTGCCCAGGCGGGTCTCGAACCCGCGCGGGCTCAGGTAATCCACTCACCTCAGCCTCCCAAAGCGCAGGATTACAGGCTGAGCCACCGAGCCCGGCTATACATATTATATAATCTCTCAATATACCCTAAAATATGTACCATTATTATCCCCATTTCACAGATGAGGATACTGTGGCTCAGGTAAGTAAATTGCCAGAGGTCACTAGTTTGAGATTGGAACTCAGGCTGTTTCAATCCAGAGCCCAAACTCTTGACCATTTTCTCTCTGCCAATCAGACAGCAGTGTAGAAATTGTAGAAACGTTTGATTCTTCTCATCCTTATGAGTATTTACTATTATGAGGCCTCTTTATAATAATATGTATTATTATGAGACATTCTTATTTTTAGGCTGGGCTACAAAACATAAAAGGCTGAAACTTTTAGCAATAACTGTTTACTAATTCTCTCCAGCTTAAATAAGAGCAACACTAAATCTTTCAAAGTTCAACAAAACCACAAGGATAAACTCACTTATAATGCCTAGGTCTTTAAATGCTTAAATTCCCGCTTCAAAAATTCTTGCCAAGCAGTTGGCTCCCTGACAGGGCACTCAGGACCACTTAAGGCACAGCTCTCGGTTGATGGGAAGCGCTCACCGTAAAGATGGCCTTACCTCTGTAACAGGCGGCGGCGGCGGCAGCTCGGCCAGGGACAACGCCGGGAGGGAGAAGGCCAACTCAGCGGACCTGGAACACACACACACACTGGATCAGCCCGACAAGCCCCCAAGGCCAAGGATCCAAGCCCCATTCCTTCCGACCCCAACATCTCACCATTTGCTACTGTGCAGCAGGCCCCGCTCCCGGGTAAGGCTCGCAATAAGCAGCAGCTGCTTTTTAATTTCCCGCAAATCTGAGAAGTCGCCGTTCGTGGACAGGACCGGCGCCACTGCCGCGGCCCCAGCCACAGGGACTACAGAAGAACTCGCAGCCATTTTCCTGCCGTGGACCAATTCACTCCAGCCAATCACTGGCGATAATACTAGCTGCCCTTCGGGACCAAAAACATCGGCCTGGCAGTGGTCGGCTCTTGTTCCGGAAGAACCAATCAAAGATCTCAATTTTGGTGCCGTCACTAGGGGGCGGGGGAAAACAAACAATTACATTCCCGATTGGTCAAGAGCTACTGAGGCGGGAACGTTAGAACATGAAAAGGTAGGGAAAAGTCAAGACCTCTGGACTGGGAAGAGTGGAATGAGTGCCGCGGAAAGGTTAATTGAGAGCCGGGGAGGTGGGCGGAGTAAGGGCAAGAAAGATCACATCACTTTAGGGGTGATGTGATTGGACGAAAAATAGAAAGGGTGTACTTTCTGGGCAGATTCTACTCTACGGGATGACAAAGTGATGTATATGTACTAAGAAGAATGCATGGTATCTTCTGGAATTTTCCCTTAAAGTGGAGGATGTGTTGCTCCACTTGGAGAATCCTTCCTCTCTATTTCTTACTCGGGGGGCGGGGGGAAGAGAGTTAACAGTTATTGAGGGCTTACCCTGATACAGGTTCTGCACCATTACAGGTATAACCTGATTTAACCCTAAACAGAGCACTATGATACTCATATCATCCCAACTTTATAATAGGAAAACGGAAGTTCAGAGAAGTTCTATCACTCCTCCAGGAATAGTCTATACTATAACCCAAATCTGACTCCAAAGCCCAGTGTTCTTACATACTGCATGAACCTTTTCAACCATTTTTGGTTTTAACAAGAGAGCCCATTCATAGTAATACGAAGAACCAAAAAAAAAAAACCGGATTTTATTTATAAAAGATTATATATTTGAACATCTTTAAACTTTAGTCTTCAAAGTATTCTCCATTTGATACAATACACCAATTGGGACGCTTTTTTCACTGCTCAAAACAGTTTTTGAACTCGTTCATTTTGATGCCTTTTAGTGCTTCTGCCATTTTTTGTTTCACCTCTTCCACATCAGCAAAACATTTCCCTTAGAGGACTTGTTCATCCAGGGAAACAAAAAAAGTTGCTCGGGCAAGATCAGATGAATAGGGAGGATGGGGCACAGGGGCCATGCCATTTTTGGTCAAAAACTGTTGACCACTCAGCATGGTGTGGGCAGGTGCCTTGTCATGGTGGAAGTTACCTGTTTTCCACAACTCGAGAGGCTTCTTCCGCAAATCATGATGCAACCTTCTTAAGACTTCCAAATAAAACTTTGGTTGACCATTTGATCCAGAGGAACAAATTCCAAGTGCACAACAAGCGGCCCATGCTCCAAAAGATAATTCCTGGTTTTTTTGGCTCCCCCTCATATGCAATCTTATGAACTCTCTTGGGAATTTTTTAAACAATTGTCATTCTTTTTGTGTTCTATACAAGTGAACGCATATTGCTACACACACACACACACACACACACGGTTTTTTGTTTGTTTTCTTGAGTCAGTGTCTCACTCTGTTGCCTAAGCTGGGGTGCAGTGGCAAGACCACAGCTCACTGCAACCTCAACCTCCTGGACTCAGGCAATCCCACCTCAGCCTTCCAAGTAGCTGGGACTACAGGCGTGTGCTACCATGCCTGGCTAATTTTTAAAATTTTCTGTAGAGATAAGGTCTCACTATGTTGTCTAGGCTAGTCTCTAATTCCTGGGCTCAAGCAATCCTCCTGTCTTAGCTTCCCAAAATGCTGGGATTACAAGCATAAGTCACCAGCCCAGCCATGTTTTTCAATGGATAATAATACTGTACCTATGTTATAGAATTGTTATGACAACTAGAGATATGTCTACTTAGTAGGTGCTACTATTTCCTGTGAGGAAATAGCATGACTTAGGGTTCACCAGTAATTTAAAGGTAAAGAAACCAGGACTCCATGTGTCTAGTTCAAGTCTCTCTTTTTTTTTTTTTTTTTGAGTTGAGGTCTCACTCCATCGCCCAGACTGGAGTGCAGTGGCACGCTCCACGCCACTGCAGCCTCTACCTGCTGGGCTCCGGCAATCCTTCTGCCTCAGCCTTCCAAGTAACTGGAATTACAGGCACGCACTACCATGCCCAGCTAATTTTTTTGATTTATTGTAGAGATGAGGTCTCACCAAGTTGCCCGGGCGGGTCTCGAACCCGCGGGCTCAGGCAATTCACACACCTCGGCCTCCCAAAGCGCAGGATTACAGGCTGAGCCACCGAGCCCGGCCTAGTTCAAGTCTCTTATGCCATACATAGCTACCACATAGAAGCAGCCCAGGATTGAGATTCAGAAGAGCTGAAATCTGCCGTGATCTAAACACACCTCCAAAAATCTCCCCCCTCTCCCACTTGCTCTTCTCTCTGGGCCTTAGTTTTCCCCTTGTAAAATGACAGATCTCAGCAAGATGACTTCCAAGATTTCTTCCACCTCTGATAAACTCCAGTTGGAGATTGGAGCTCAAATTGCCTCCATGACAGTTAGAGGGGAGAGAGTGACTTCCTTGTTTTTAATTTATTGACAGTAAATAAATAAATCAAAAGGTAGTGATGAAACTAGAAACGAAGAAGTTATATATGGGATGTGTAGTTTCTCTCTTGGTGGAAGCTTCTAGAAATAAGGCTCAGTCCAAAGTCAGAGACCTTAGACCTCACTCTCCCATTGCCTCATCTGTTATACAACCAGAACCCTCTCCTCCCCACAATATTAGACAGATGTCTTGAAGGGGAGGAGAGTTCAAGTCCTGTGACCCTCTGCCGATCTGTGTACTACAATCATAAGTTGTATTTTAATTTGTGAATGAGTCCCCATTATGTCCACTTATTGGTTAGGATGCTTCCTCTTAAGTCTGCACAATAGCATACAGCCAATCTAGTCCAGCATATGGCCTCTGAGCTCAGGGGATTGGTCTCTGAGAGCAGAGCTTTACTTGTAACTTCAGGCCTATAGGCCCCCACCTGGGAGCCCAGATCCAGGAAGGGAGATGAAAAGGGAGATGAACCTAGAAATTCATTTCCTCCAAGAGATTTAGTGCCCTGGGTTTAATAACACACCATCCAGGGAGGTACTTGTAGCCACCTAATGGGTTCTTAATAAATACATGCTGGCCAGGTGAAGTGGATTATGCATATAATCCCAGCACTTTGGGATTATTGGGCCAAGGTGAGAGGATTGCCTGAGCCCACAGGTTTGAGACTAACCTGGGCAACTTGGCAAGACCTCATCTCTACAATAAATCAAAAAATTAGCCGGGTCTGGTGGTGTGTGTCTATAGTTCCAGCTACTTGGAAGGCTAAGGCGGAAGGATCACCTAAGCCCAGCAGGTCAAGGCTGCAGTGACAGAGAGCGTGCCACTGCACTCCAGCCTGGGTGACAGAGTGAGACTCTGACTCAAAAAATAAAAAATATAAGGGTACGCACACTTTACCTATATGATGACTATGTATGTACCTCATTTGTACCCCACATTTTAAATATAAAATAATTTTAAAAAGAAATAAATACATGCTGAACTGAATTCAGAATTCAGATGCTTTTTTTTTTTTTTTGAGTTGGAGTCTCACTCTGTC